GCCTGTTCCCCAATTCTGTATGCATAAATAAATAAATCTTTAAAAACAAATTACAAGGGTTAATATAGAAGAGATAATTCATTTGAAATACATAGCTCATTCTGACATTGTATGTACTCAATAATTGTTAAACCAGTAACCAGTTCATTTACTGCTAACTTAAATGGTATATAGGGAAAAAAGAAAAAAATTTCATTCTGCATATATTTGAGTTGTTAAGAATGTACATGAATTTGTATACCTATGATTTCCAGTAGAAATGTGATATTACTACTTATGCAGTAAATATATTTTCAAGGGTTTCAAAATAAAAGCTTTACAGACTCAGTAAAGTCTGTTTTAGAGTCAAAACTTGTATAAAAATTCACTGGTGGAAAGTATAGTGTTAATTTGCCTTTGATGACATGAGTAGATAACTATTTCAGTGATAATTAAAAATATTTTTTTCCTTTGACAATAATTCTTTAGTAAGCTAAAAATAAATCTGTGTACAGAGAACAATTCTGGGGCTTTGATTAAAAACAACAGTAAATTTTCTGTTAATATCCTAAAATAGGAACAATTTGTTTTCATGACTCTTAGTCAAACACAATTCAACTACTCTCTGGGTTAATTTTTACAAATATGTAAAGCACACTGCGTAAGAACAAAGATTGGGTAGGACCTGAAAAATGGAGGAGAAAGGCATGGGTAGGTTGTGTAATTAATTATGACATACTTCTTTCATTCTGATACCTAGACTTATTTGAACAATAATCATTTAAAAACTTAGTGGGAAAAAATGTCACCCCATTACTTCCCTGTTGGAGCTACTGGACTGGCAAACATCTCCTGAGATAACACGATATGAAAAAAAAAAAATGACATTTATACATCTACCCTTTTTTTTTTTAAAGATTTATTTATTTGTACATACAGAACTGGGGCACAGGTCAGAGGCTCAGGAGCGGCGAGAGGCTTCACCAGAGACAGAATGGGGAACAGAACAGGCAGATCGACCAAGTACACTGATGAGGGGAGCAGCGGGCGGGTCAGGAGAGGTCTACCACGCCATGTGGTCACCTCCGGGGCAGGCGGGAATCGAACTCATGCGGAAGTGGCTTTAGCCTCTCAGTGCAGTGCTTTAGCCCGCTGCGCTATCAGGGAGAGCTTGTACATCTACCCTTTAACATGTCAATTTTTTAATTTGAGCTTGAAGAAATCTCTTAACTAAGATTTTAATTGTTTTCCTCCCTAATTTGTCCTTTCCTTATTTTACCAGTATATTTACAATTAGCATAAAAGCTGCAGAAATAATGGCCAGTTCTATGAGCTAATGAGCTGGTTCTATGAACCCAATTTAAAGCTGAGGCAATAAGATGCAGAGATTATCAGAATATCTTGATCATTGGAAGAGACCTTTCAAGAATCTTTCTGAACCATTCAAACTTTTTGCCTTATAGTTGACAGTGGCGGGGAGGTTCAAGCTATATATATACACCTTGTAAGAGATGGAGTCAGGACTTCAGACTTCTTTAATGGAGCTGGTGTTCTCACACTGCCTAACCACTTGCTTGGCATCTTCTTGTTTTTGTGGGGAAAGGCAGATCAAGAGTGATTTCCTGATAATTTATATGGCTAGAGGTCTAGATAACAATTTCCTTTCAACTTCCTTGTTGGCCCTGCTGAAGACCTCCTGACTGCTGTACCATTTAGGGAAGTTTGCGATGCTCACTTTCCCTAGTTCTGGGAGTGGCTCTTCCAGTGGATCTGACCTGTGTACACCCAGGCAAGCAATTATTTGCAGTAGCTTTGGGCTTTGAAACTCTCTTGCTCCTTAATGCAGAGAAAGGGCTGGAAAGGGTAGAGAAGAATTCTGGCCTGTGAAATGCAGAACTCAGCTTGGACCTGGAAAATCTTCCAGTAATTTTTCTAATCCTGCACCTCATTTTTACAAATTGGTTTGAGACAAAACAAAGCACACCCATTCTACAAGTGTTAACTCCTGACTGAAGACATTCAAAAACCATTTCTTATATTTGAGGATCCTAGGGTAACATCTCTGGCCCAGGGTGAATCTCCCAACAGCTTTTCCAAGTCTTGGTTGGCATTTATATTCTTCTTTTTGGTAAAAATAAAATAAAATAAAATAAAAAGTATTGTGTACAACTTATGATATTCAACCTCAAGAATAAGCTTGATTAAAAGTTGTCATTACAAAATATAGTTACCTATGCATAGTGCTTGTCACCTTTAATTACTTTCAAACTTTTTATGGTAACTTTTTTATCTCTTCTGTTTAAACCCGTATCTGGCTAAAGGCTAAAAAATAACACTTCTTTCTAACTGCACTGCATTCATTTGGGGTGGAGATGATTAGCAGCATAGTTAATCATTAGTAATATAAACCCTAACATTGGAGCACATGGGATTCTTTTGCTACTCAACAGAGTGCTTTTGTGGCTAGTTTTTGAGCACAGACACATCTCCTTTATTTTTGTATACAGAGCTTTCTTTGACATACAAGACCAAACTTTACTTGAAGCAACCTAAATAGTATGAAAAAGAATGTCTTGTTTGTCTTTTAAGTGCTGAACATTACAGAGTATCCTTTTGGCATAATATAATTATTTTCTACAGAGAAGAGCTGAACATTGGTGATTTATTACATAGGTAGTGAGCAATACATGATTTTTAAATTTACCTAAAATGTTTCTTTATGAACTATTCAGGAGTCTCTAACACTGTGTCATGAAGTATGAACTAACTAGTATTGATCGTAGAGGTATTATTCTTTTGTCATAGTTACAATTTGGTAAATGCTTATGTGTATATGTTTGTTCCAAAAATTATTTTAAATGACTGAATAGACACCCTCCCTGGTGGCATAAGGGATTAAACCTCAGTACTGTGAAGCTCTTGCAGCCACTGCATCACAAGTTTGATCCCCAGTCAGAGAGGTGACCCACATGGTGACCCACATGGGCAAATCTCTTTAACCTGCTTGCTGCTCCCCTCAGCAGTGTGTTTCAGTAGATCTGCCTGTTCTGCTCCCCACTCTGTCTCTAGTGAAATCTCTCACACCCCACCCTACACCTCTGGCCTGTACCCCAGTTCTTGTATGTATAAAATAAGTATTAAAAAATAAATGGAGGACCTCCCTCGTGTCACAGCAGATTCAAGCCCTGCACTGCCAAGCTAGGCCACGGTGCAAGTTGAACCCTGCACCAGAGGTGATTCACATGGAGCAGCAGACCTTTCCTGTCTCACCTGCTGCTTTCCTCAGCAATGTACTTTGTCAATCTGCCTGTTCTGCTCCCCGCTTTGTCTCTGGTGAATCCTCTCACCGCCCGCTGCACCTCTGGCCTGTATCCCATTTTGTATGCATAAGTAAATAAAATCTTAAAAAATAAATAAATGAAATGACTGAACAGAAATACATTTAATAATGCATGCACAAAATACAAAGATAAGACAAAGGCTGAAAATGTAGGAAAATAAAATTAAACAAAGGATAAAGTCACCATGCAAATATATCTAGTGAAATTCATCTCTTTGGTCTGTTAGTGAGCTTATGCATAAATTAGTAAACTGGTGTTTTCCCTGCCAACTAGGTTGGAAACTATACATAAATTTTAATGAAAACTGTATTATTGACTATAATTCACATTTCTTTTCATTACCCCAGAGTTCCTAGCTGTGCCAAAGAATGTTGTTTTTTTTTCACAAACTAATTATTAGAGTGTGTGAATTGGCATACACAGTCATTTCCTCTGTGAATCTTCCTGTCACTTTATTTCCAATTAGCATGCCATCCTTAAAGGTTGATGAAGGAAAAAAGATATGCAAGTCATCTAGCTCAATTTACTTCTTAGAAAAGGAAGTATGAAGTCAAGAAGTATGGGAAGAATAGAGTGGGGCAGTTAGATGTTATTAAAACCATTTAGGGGATTAAAAAATATTTAATTTTTTTATTTATAGTTATCAAAATCTTCACAACTAAAGGGATTCATATAACTATCTTGTTAAAGCAATATTTTGGAGAGAATGTATAACTTTTTTTTAAATATTTATTTATTCATATGAAACTGGGGTACAGGGCAGAGATGTGGAGGGTAAGAGGATTCAGAGACAGAGAGGGTAGCAGAACAGGCAGAGCGACGAAGTACACTGCTGAGGGGAGCAGCGGGCAGGTCAGGAGAGGTCTGCCATGCCATGTGGATCTCCTCCGGGGCAGGCGGGATTCGAACTCATGTGGTAGTGGCTTTAGCTTCTTAGTGCTGTGCTTTAACCCACTGCGCCACCAGGGAGGGCGACAGTATAACATTTTTTAATACTGAACATTTTCCCACACTCACATAATTATAAGCATCAATGTTCAAATATCAGGATTAGACACTTAATTAAAAAAGCTTGATAAGGCAAATGAACACATTTTTATCTGGAAATAGCAGAATAGAATGCAAAGTGTTGGAGAACACAGTTATTCAGTAGTCTGGCAAGTTTATCAAACCAATAAAATACTGTATTGCTATTAAAGTAATAAAAGTTGCATAAATAAAAGTGTCATAAACATTTATCATAAAAAGGAATGATAAAAATACAAACTGATATTTAAACCATAAAACATGTAAAATATTTACAGGTAGACAAAGAATAAAAGCTAATGTGTAAAAACAAGTTACATTTAACTAAGATTAACTTTTTTCTTTCTTATGTTATTCTTTGTTTTGTCAATTTATAATTGAAGTAGGAGAAAAGAAATGGCAAACTTTAATGTGAAGAATTTTTTTTTAACAGCTTTGCCAAATAATTTACTTTATTCTCCCTTTTAAGGTGTGATTTTAAGCCTTAAAATTTACAGACTGGAGGGGGAGGATAATCTAAACTGTTTTCTTGCAACTAAGATTTGCTTTTTTTCTAACTTCATACATGTTTTTTAAGAGGGATTATTCCATGTTAATACACATAGAATAACTCAGCAATGTTTCCCTTATCTTTCCCTTCCTTGTTTTTCTTAGGGATTGCCGTAGGAGTATTGGTTCGAGAATACAGCAAGCTCTCTAATCTGGAGAAATTCTACTTTGCTTTTCCTGGAGAAATCTTAATGAGGATGCTGAAACTCATCATTTTACCATTAATTATATCAAGCATGATTACAGGTATTTCGAGAAAACTAATATTCTCTAATGATTATTTATGGAACTGCCATTTATGTTTTTCTTTTCTAATTAAAAATCTAAATCCTTTTGATGCCTTCCTCCCTTCCTCCCTCCCTTCCTCTCTCCCTCTCTCCCTCTCACACCCCTGTTAGAAAGTATGTATTTGCTCCATTAGAAATAATTTGTTATTCACGAAGTGCCTCTGCTCTGTCTATAGCACTGTCGGTCACGGTGCAAATCTTCATTTAACCATATTATGTCTTGTGAGAAAGATGCCATTTTCAAACATATTACAAATAAAATACTATCAAGGACACAGAAGGGGGAAATTTTAGCTTATTTGGTTATCAGAATATTAATCAGTGTCCCCAGGTACAACCTGATTTTCAAGTTCTGATCGAATTTTCAAGTATTTCACTCATTTGTTTCCCAACTGCAGCTCTCCCACCTACTCTCCAACACCCCTATCCTAACTACTTCTCAGCAGCTGACTTTAGGTCCTTTTGATACCTCCCCTTACCCACTTAAACTCCTCCACACAACTCAGAACTTGCTACATACCTATCTCAGAAATTTGCCCAGGGACCAGTGCCAAGTGCTGTGCCAAGTGCTGTGGAGAAAGTTTAATTATGGGTTTGCACTGTATTTTAAATGCCTGGTATTTTTAAAGTCTGAAATTGTGACACAGTTGAATTTGGAAATGATTTTTCCCTGATTGATCATGTACCTCATCATTGCAGGTTCCCTATAAAGAGCAAATTCCCTTCGGTTGATGTAGTTTTAAAAAATGTCATTTGTCTGGTATGGTAATCTTTTCCATACTTTCTTATACTTATCTTAATTCTGGCAAAAGGTAAAATGTGGCATGACACTAACATTATGCAATTCAAGGTTTTATGGAACCACATTACTAGGAAGTCTTGTTCTCTTCTAGAACATTTTTCTCCATTGCTGTGAAGAAACCTGAGGCTGATCTGTGTGGTATACTGGATATTGGCCAGGGATAGGGAGGGTGAATGTCAGGATTTGCTGTGTTCAGCAAACACATTGCTTGAAAAACTGAGTCTGAGCACTGAACTTTGCAAGTGCCAGCCTTCAATAAGACTAAAATCCCTTGGGAACTTTGCTCTTAAAAGGTATTGGAATTCTTGGTTTATTACAAGTGAGCATTTAATAATTTCTATTTTGTATTTAATTATGTTTTAAAATTCCTTGTTCATTTTAGACCCTGTAGCTTGAGGGCCAAATCAACAGACTAGTTTTTTCTACCGTATAGTATTTGTTTGTTTAACTTTAAATTTTTGTAAACATTTAAAATTTGAAAGATTTCAGGTAAGCATCCAGATTTCTTGCTTCCTCTGACAAAAATGTTGCTCCTGGAAAACACTGGTCCCATGTTCCCATACACCAACAGTGTTCTGGAGATACTAGCTGAGAGATATCTACTCCATTTAGTTGGGATGATGTATCTGAGGATGCCACAGTCCCACTATTCCCTATTGCCTAACACTTCATCCACTTTACTTACATAACCTATTAGCCCCCCATAAGCACTGTGATTTCAATCCCTTAGAACTGTTCTCCACATCAAGGATTCTTAGTCTTTTTTCGGCTCCTTTCAGAACACAGTGAAAACTTTGGACCCTCGCCCAAGAAAAATATTCACAGTTCATATATGCTGTATTTTGCAGTTGCATAAAGTACATAAACCACTTGGTGAGAGATACTATTTATAACTTGTTATCTATGGAGGAAGATATGGAAGATTGATCCAAAATTAGGCTGCAAATCCAAAACTCATGCAAAAACCAAGTTTAGAAGAAAAGGTGAAAAATAATATAGATATACTAGTTATATATTGGATGTTTGAAAATATGTACCAATCTTGGCAGTCAGTAACTAGTGTGATTTTTTGCAGTCTGGTTGTTTTGGTCCTAAGTCTAGAAATATAATTTGTAACCCTCAGCATTCCACTCACATAGCCCAGTTGCTTTTTTGAAACTGTAGTGCAGCTCTGGTAATTTCCCCCAAACCTTGCAGTGTCCTCATCCTCTCACCCAATTTCAAGTGAGCAGAACACGGTTGGAAAGAGTATTTTTCACGTTTCAAAAGCCTTCATAATCCTGTAGATCAATAACTAACTTTATACATTTAGCAAACCAAAGGAACATGCATTTTGCAAGTTGGGGAATAGTGAGTGAGTTCCCTAAGTATAACAAATCACAGAGACACAGCAAAAATTGAGACCAAAGACCAGTGATCTGTGCTGAAAGAATGGACAGGAAAAATACTTGCACCAAAGCCTCTGCTGACATATAAATTCTTTGTAGCTATTTTTTTAATAGGAAGAAACCCCTTCATTTGATAATTTGATAGTGAGACATGTTAATCAGGGAAATTTGAATAATGATTATATCAATAACGGATTGACAGTTATTACAAGTGATAGTGACATAGTTATGTAAGAAAATGCTGTTGTTTTTAAAAAATGGGATGAAATGATTGGAACTTAATATCTGGAGTATGTTTTAAAACAGAAAAAAGAGAGAGAAAAAAGAGAGGCACAGTAGACATAGCCTCAAGGAATTTTAGGAGATAAGTGGCATAGTACTAACAGCATCCTACCCATCGCTTACATCCTGAGGGACACACTTGTGCCATGCCTCAAAATATGGATGCTTGAACCCTATTAGCATTAGGTTTGTAAGCTATATTAATAGCAGCCACCAGGGAAATGGCAAGGGAAATGGCTTATGAACATAACTGATAATTGTGGCTCTGGAAACCACAAGTCCAAGTATCACCAAACAATGAGTTTAAATTCAGGTCACATTTTCTTTAATACACAATTATGACTTCAGCCTCCCTTGGTCAGCACAGGAATGGAGTGACCCCTGACCCCTGCTCCTCAGGAAGTTTCCTGAGCGTCTTCCCAGGATGCTGTCTTCACTGTGCTAGGAAGAGGTCACTAACTTCCTCTCTAGCCTCCAATGACTGCCTAGTCTAAAGCTGACTCTCTGTATCCTGTGGATGTTTCTGCCTCTCTAATCTTGAAGAGCACTCCACATTAAAAGGAGCAAAAATGTAATTCTTTACAGAGCAGCCCAAACCAGGCTGATACTTAGGACAAATGTCTATGAAAGGTTGAGAGATAAAAGCAATTAAAATACCAATCATGTCATCCAGATCCCCAAAGGGTCTCTTCTGAGAAGCCCAGGCTCCCTTAAGTGGGCTGACACTCTACTTAGTTGCCAGCCTGCCTCCAGCAGTGAGGCCAGTTTGTCCCTCCACATAAAGATGTTCCAAGCATTGCTACAACACAGGCTTCCCACCTGACACTATGTCCTAAGTTCCTGAGTCAGTAACAACCTCTTCCTGATATAATTACCAATATGGAACATCCTTTTCAGAGGACCCTCCTGCCCCAGCAGTCACAGGGTATTGCCTTGCCTTGTACTCCTGATCAGGAAACTCACCATGGAATGATACCACACCTACCTGTTGAGTTGTAACATACCATCAAATTTGCAGGATTTGGAGTCTGTTCTGATTGAGCTAAGCCAAGTTTATATAATTGTTGTGCACAGTTCATCCTCCAAAGCAAGAAGCTCATTCCTACCCAGTCCTGAAATATCTCACTTTGGGTTTCTTACAGCTGGTAGAATTTCCTGCCAGCTCAGTGCATTTCAAGTTTATATTTGATCAAGAAAACACCCTACTTTCCTTCCATCCCAAGTCACTGAGCTCAGGATCCCAGTGCTAGTTGATTCTATCTCCTGGACATTCACATTACCAAGCACAAAACTTCAAGAGAAAACATTTATATTGTTTATCAATGACTTTCCAGTTACACAAGAGCACTGGTGGAGTTTTACATTTACATTTACATTTATGGAGAGCTTTTTTTTTTAATTTTTTTTTATAGATTTATTTACTTGTGCATACAGAACT